AGATAATCCAAATCAAACCTACATCTGGCATTATAGACTTAATCATATCAATGAGACAAGGATAGCCAAGTTACATAAACAAGGTTATCTAGATCCATTTAATTATGAATCATATGGAACTTGTGAGAGTCGTCTCCTTGGTAAAATGACTAAGACTCCTTTCACTGGAAAGGCTAAAAAAGTAGGTGTGCTCCTAGGGCTAATACATTTGGATGTATGTGGACCTTTAAGCACACCTGCCAAAGGAGGTTATTCATATTTCATTACATTTACAGATGACCATTCTAGATTTGGTTTTATGTACCTAATGAAGTACAAGTCTAAAGCTTTTGAAAAGTTCAAAGAGTTTAAGGCTAAAGTTGAGAAACAAATTGGGAAGAGTATTCTCAACGTTAGATTGGATTGAGGAGGAGAACATCTTAGTCAGGAGTTTTTGGATTACCTAACGAAACATGGAATTCTATCACAATGGACTCCACTTGAAACTCCACAACACAATGGAGTGTTTGAAAGGAGAAACCAAACCTTGTTAGACATGGCTCGTTCCATGATGAGTAGGGCGAACCTTCCAATATCCTTTTAGGGATATGCCTTAGAGATTGCTACTTACCTTCTTAACAAAGTTCTGACCAAATCGATTGATAAGACACCATATGAGATGTGGTATGGCAAAAGGCCAAACTTGTCTTACATAAAGATTTAGGGATGTACAGCTTATGTGAAGCGTGCATTGTCTGATAAACTTGGAGATAGATAAACTATAGGATACTATTTTTATAGTCCTACCGAGCAAAAGGTGTTTGTCTCGAAACATGCCACTTTCTTGGAAAAAAAAGTTTTTACTTGAAGGACTTGAAGGGACTAATGGGAGTTAAATAATTCTTGAAGAGGTACAAGAACCACAAACTAACATCCCTTTGGAACTTGAGTCAATAGCTGAAGCATTGGATGCTCAAACTGGTGCTCAAGAAACATAAGTGCTCTATAGATCTACTAGATAGACACAACTTCTAGAGAGATATAGATCTATGATGGAAAGAGATGTTCTACCAATTGACATAGAGCCTACTATTTATGAGGAAGCAATATCTAATATTGATTCTAATAAGTGGTTGGAGCCCATGAAATCCGAGATGGATGCCATGCATGTCACCCAAGTGTGGACTTTGGTTGATGCACTTGAAAGGGTGAAACCCATAGGATGCAAATGGGTCTTTAAGAGAAAGACTAACATGGATGGTAATGTACAAATGTACAAGGCTAGGTTGGTTGCTAAAGGTTACAACCAAGTTGAAGGAATTGATTATGAGGAAACCTCCTCACTTGTAGCCATGATTAAATCCATTAGGATTTTGCTTGCTATTGCTGCATATTATGATTATGAGATATGGTAGATGGATGTAAAGACAGCATTCCTTAATTGAAATTTGCAAGAATAAGTGTATATGACACAACTTGAAGGTTTTACATCCAAGAAGAATAAGCATAACGTATGCAAACTCCAAAAGCCCATTTACGGGCTAAAGCAAGCATCTAGGAGCTGGAACATCAGATTTGATGAAACTATTCAAGAATATAATTTCATCAAGAATCCTAATGATCCATGTGTTTATAAGAAGGTAAATGGATAAGCAGTTGTATTTTTAGTACTCTATGTTGATGATATACTACTAATAGGAAATGATATACCGACGCTGCAAACTGTCAAAATTTAGCTATCCAAACAATTCTCCATGACAGATTTAGGAGAAGCAATCTATATTCTAGGAATAAGATCTATAGAGAGAGATCAAAGAGACTACTAGGATTGTCCCAATCCACTTATATAGGTAAGGTGTTGAAGAGTTTTAGCATGATCGAGTCCAAAAAGGGACACTTGCCTATGTCACATGGCATTCATCTCTCAAAGGATATGTGTCTAAAGACACAAGATGAGAGGATAAGGAAGGATATGATACTATATGCATCAGTTATAGGATCCATCATGTATGCCATGTTATGTACTAGATCAAATGTGGCATGTGCTCTGAGTGTCACGAGCAAATACCAATGAAATCTAGGTGAGAAGAACTTGATTGTAGTGAAAAATATCTTTAAGTACTTATGAAGAACTAAGGATGTTTTCCTGGTCTATGGAGTGGCTAAAATCCAAGTTAAAGGATAAGGAGATGCTGTATTCCAATATGATAAGGATGATAGAAAAGTGGGTTTATATTTACCTTAAATGGCGGTGCTATTAGCTAAAAAAGTTCCAAGCAAGCAATGACTGCAGATTCTACAACCGAGGCTGAATACATCTCCACATCTAAGGCAGTGAATGAGGGAGTTTGGATCAAAAAGTTCATAACTGAACTTGGTGTGGTTCCTAGCATTGTTGATCCTATAACTTTGTACTGTGACAACAATGGAGCCATTGCATAATCAAAGGAATCTAGGTCTCATCAACGATCCAGACATGTATTACGACGTTATCACCTTATCAGAGAGATTATTGGAAAAAGTTATATTAATATAGAAAGAGTACCCATGAACGACAACTTAGCTGACCCTCTCACTAAAGTTCTATCCCAGCAGAAACACGATTGCCACTTGGACGGCTTTGGTATTAGATACATAGGCGATTGGCTTTAGTGCTAATAGGAGATTGTTAGTGTAAGCCCTGCAAGCCAATCGATTTTGTGCTTGTAAAACACTACATTAATTAGTCATATTTCATTTTAAATACATTATGGATATTTTATATAATGTATGAGGTATTTCTTTATCTATGAGTTTATTTATAAAGAGTTATGAGAGACTTATGTAGATAAAGTCCTTGGAACATAATGGCCTTGCAAATAAATTATAAAGGTTAGAATTATGAGATTCTTACGCATCAAAGCCTTGTTCCTAAATATGTTACTGGTCATTGTATTGTCAAGAATAAAGGCATTAACAATGCTCAAAGGCTAGTACATGTTAAGCCTCCTTACTTTAGAAGTAAGCAATTAATCTCATAAGTTCAAGTATGTGAGATACTTAAAGCTAGTATATGGGTGCTTATTTTGGAACAAGTTCACTGAACATGACCCGGTATGAGAGTTCTATTTGGTATTTTACTCAAATGTCTATGAAAATACTCACATGTGTCAATAATGTAAGTAATCCTTAGACTTGTGATACCAAGTTATCTTGTATGTGAATTGTCATGCTTTGATTTCATCTCTACAGGTCTAGAGATGACCAAATGCTTAAACAGGGTACTTTTGGGCATGAGATGAAGTATATGAAGATGAATAAGTAGTTTAGAGAGGATTCATCACCCTAGGGTGCTTTTGGCCAAGGCAATCTTTATAGGTTAATATAAAAGCAACAGGACTAATATGGATAAATTAAAAAGTAGACACCGAGCCAAGCTTTCTATCTATCTGAGATATAAGATGAAAGGATAAAATTACATTGAGCTATTGTACATTGAAAGGTTAGTCAAATCATATTGAATCTCTTAACATTTGGTTGGTCATGATTTATTGTTAGATGCCGCTCATGATCTATAAATATAAATATAAATTCTTAGTTGAATTAATTTATATTTATTGCCAACATGTTGGGAACCGAATGGGTCACGCACATAAGGTGAATTGTCAAAATTAGTTTGAGTTCAATTGGATGTGATCTAATTAATTTTATAGAGGCTTGATCCAATAAAGTATTGGACTAAATCAAATATGATTTGATGGAGTATTAAATAAAGGCTCAATTAGCCCAAGATATTTTATAATCCTTGTTAGATATAAAGTAGGTCAATTTACTCTATTAAAGAATCCCTTAGTCACCTCTTGAATATATAGAAGAGTTCTATTTTACGTTCTCATATGTTGAGATAGGATAACAGCCAAAAGAGAGAAACATAAGAAAGCTCAAAAGTTGAGAGTTTTCTAGCACAAACTTCGACTTAGGGATTCACACACTTTTAGTGAAGCGATTTCAGCAAATCACTGTGTGGATGACCATTAGAGGTAGGACAACTGTGCTGCTATGATTTGATAAGTCCTAATTGGTGTACAAAAGTTAAAACAAAAAGTCAAGGAGGACTCCATCAAAGAAAGCAAACTTTCAGGTATGTCAAAATTTCTCTTGTGGTTTTTCTAGATTAGTTTCAATTAAAGTGATCCATGACTTTGAGGATTAAAATTTTAATAATATTCCATTGCGTATGAGTTATCTTAATATTCCATTGTGGATGCTCACCTTAATTATAATCCTAACATATGAAGTCTAGATCAACACATTAAAATGATCATGCCCATGGTATATAAAAGATTATAAGGAGATAAAATACAAGTCTACCATCCATCAAGATTTCGTTTCTACCATAAGCAAATACATAAGTGACAGATTAAGATTTAAGTAGTGATTAAAACTTAAATTTGATTCTCACTTGATTCTAATTCATGTTATAGTGTTATTACTCAAAGTCAACCATTTCGAAGATTTGAGACTCATCATTCCCTTGAAGTAAATCACATTATTTTCATTGGAAGTAATTTACACACTACAACCTTTACATAAAAAAAGTGACCAGCATTGTTATATGGGTGTGATCAATTTTAAGATTTAATAAAAATAGATGTTTCCTATGTATGACTCTTCATATAATATATTTTAATTTATTAATAAAATCTTAGTACTTTATAATTAGATAATAAATGCTCGCTTAAAACCAACTCTTCGTCTTATTACAAACAAAATAATTGGAATATAATCATGATAATATACTTGCTTTCTAAGGCACCATATTCTCAAATTCTTAACAAAGCGAACTTTGATCTATTAGATTTTAGCCATGCTCAAAGAAAAACACAAAATTAAAAAAATTAACAATTAAAATTAAATAGCTTAATGAAAATAAACATAGAAAATCGAAACCTCATGGGATCACTTGTTTTTACATTTAATCGAATTAACATTCATACATACACGATATGATTAGAATCATACCTTTAGTAATGATTTCAATAAATCACAAGCCATGATCCCTTTTCTTAATTGCACACTAAAGCCCGGTTGTCACAAACCAAAGCTGTCCATGTTCCAACCTTTAACAATGATACACACAAGTGGCAGATGAAAACCTTTTTCAAGGTAGGGATTATGTGTATGTCGTGGAGCGATGTTAATGGCTAAGATTTCATAAATCTCACCTTTTAAAGAATCGATTTTGGTAGAAAAGATAACAAAGAAAAACGATTCTTTGAACCCACCTAAAATAATTGTTTCTTAGGCTTAGGGAGTTATTTCAATTTTCTATCAAGTCTTGCTCACCTCTAATTCTTCTCTTATGGTGCAACATCCACATTTAAGTATTTATAGTTAGGTTAAATTGCTGATCCAACTTTTGATTAATTACAATTTAACATCTGTACTTAATTAAACCATTTAATTAAGTCCGTATTGGAAATTTTAAATTTTCAATTGAGTATAAATCCCATTTTAATTTCACATTGTCACATTATTGTATGTGGCACATTAGACCCATAACATATTGGCAATAAAAATAAATTAACCCAATTTTGTATATTTATACACCATGAGTGGCATCTAGCAACATCATGACCATCAAAATATCAGGAGAGTCAGTATGGTTTGACTAGACTTTCAGTGTACAGTGTCTTAGTGCAATTAGATTCTTTCATTAAATATCCCAAATATGTCATGAAGCATAACAACGATGTCTACTTATGACATCCCAAATTAGTCGTAAAGCTGCATATTGACCTATCAAGATCACCTCGGCTAAGGACTTTGTCAATATAAGCTAAGAGCAAGTGAGATATGTCCTTTTCAAATCACTTGGGGTGATGAACCTCTTTGGACTACTCATTCATCTTCACATGCTTCATGCCATACCCAAAGCTCGTTATTTAGGCATTTGGTCATCTTCAGACCTGTAGGGTTGAAATCAAAGCTTGACAATTCATATATAAGATGCTTGGTATCACAAGTTTAAGGATTACTTACACTACTAATACATGAGAGTATTTTCATAGACACTTGAGTGAAATACTGAATGAAACTTTCATAACGGGTCATGTTTCATGAACTTGTTCCTTAACAAGCACCCGCATACTATCTCTAAAGATCTCAATACTTCAACCTATGAGATCAATTGCTTACTTCTAAAGTAAGAAGGCTTAGCATGTACCAGTCTTTGAGCATTGTCAATTCTCTTATTCTGGACAATACAATGATCAGGAACATATTTAGGAACAAAGCTTTGATGCATAAGAATCTCATAATTGTAACTCTTACAATTTCTTTACAAGAGCATTATGTTATAAGGACTTTATCTGCATAAGTCTCTCATAACTCTTTATAAATAAACTCATGGATAAATAAATACTTCATAGATTAT